TCCACAGAAAAGACTGTCAATATTTATGCTGATTCTCAGTATGCACTTGGATCCTGCCATGCTACTGCGCAGTTATGTGTGGTTTATGTGTAGTATATACTACACAGTGTATTTACTATGTGTGAGTTTATAACTTCTAGGGGAAATAAAACATCAAATGCTCTGCAAATTACTGAACTGATAAAAGCTACACAACTGCCTGAGAAACTTGCAATTATCAGCCAAACTATTACCAGCAGGAGGACAAAACAAGAGAGAAAAAATGGCCTAACAGATACTGCTGCTAAAGCCACAGCACAACAGCCTATGAGCAGTCCAGGGGCCTGACTTGATGTTGCTGGTTCCTGAAGAGGCATATCTGACTGTAAATGAAGAAACTGTGTAAAAGATACAAGCAACCAAAGTTTCCCAGGGAATGTGAAGAACAGATATGGAAAATCTTCCTGTCGTACCTAAGCAATACCTGATTCTCATCATGAGAATGTATCACTATCCAGGACATTTTGGGAGCACTGCAGTAGCTCAGACACTGCTGAAGAATTGGTTCATGTCAGGAATTTATAAGTAGCAGCCAAGATACATATTAGCTTACAAGCAACCAAAGTTTCCCAGGGAATGTGAAGAACAGATATGGAAAATCTTCCTGTCGTACCTAAGCAATACCTGATTCTCATCATGAGAATGTATCACTATCCAGGACATTTTGGGAGCACTGCAGTAGCTCAGACACTGCTGAAGAATTGGTTCATGTCAGGAATTTATAAGTAGCAGCCAAGATACATATTAGCTTACATATATATAAGCAAATAAGTAACTGCATCTTGCATACACTGCCCTAGTACCCAGCAAAGACCTCAACACAAAATTTGACCATATACAAAAGTTCTTACTAAGTTTTTATTCTTTTGTATAAACTCCCTGTTTCCTAATAACACATCTGTTCTGAATTTCCCTGAGAATGCCCCTTAGGGATGGAAAAGAATTTTAAGAGCTCTTTCAAAATAACCATGATCTGCATCCAGTGTGAATTGTCCTTTAGTCAAGAGCAGAGTCCAGCGAGTGCAATGGACCAGCTTTCCTGCTCAAACCCTGCACAAACCAACACTGTGCTAGAGGTTTTCACTGTGCTCTCCCACTCTGTCCCTGCAATGCTTTCCTTGCTGCCTTGCTCAGCTCTGCACTGCAGGATTCATTTCCTGGTTAGAACATGTCTTTCTCAGGCATTGTCTCTCCTGCAGCTTCAAGTAACTATCAAGCCATGCTTAGTCCACCTGGTAGACAAACTAAAGAGAGCAGAGAATTTATATCACCCCAGCAGATGTCCAATATATTTGGGAGCAGCCTCACTAAAAAGTTGTCACATAAATACTGTAAGAAAAAGGAATTTGTAAGTCAGTCCTTACCTTCTGACCTAACTCAGTCTCCACCCAGCACTGGCAGGTTCCCCAGGGCTGTTTAAACTTTGAAGCTGGGGGTGTTTCCAAACATACCCAATTAGAGAGGAAAACTCCCATTGCTACTAAGCTGCCACTACCCACTTTAAAGACACATGGCTCTGAAAATTGCCCCCCAAGGCAGAGACTGATTTTGTTTGCTGGTTTGACTATACCATGAGGGTATAGCGTTACAGTTTCTGTGGGAGCCACCTATGCAAACTGCTCCCTTGGAGTTATTGGGGCATTTTACCCAAAGACAAGAGCAAGACACTTCTGCCAGGGCTGCAGGGAGTGGACTAGGGGGAATGGCCTTGAGCTGAGCCAGGGCAGAGTCAGATTGGGGGTGAGGAGAAATGTTTTCCCTGTTGTGGTGTTCAGCACTGGGATATTGCCCAGGGAGGTGGTGCAGTCACCATCCCTGGAGGTGTTTCAGAGGTGTCTGATGTGGCACTGGAGGATCTGGGTCAGGGTTTAGGGGCTCCAGCAGTGATGGGTTAATGGTTAGACTTGATGATCTTAGAAGTCTCCTCCAACCTTGATGATTCTATGAGTCTAACACACTGAGAAAATCATAGATTTTTCTGGATCATATTTAGGGTAATAGTAACCATTTACAAACAAACCACTTAAGTTTCTAGGCTTATTTCCCTATTTAGCAGGAACCCAGGTCTTTATTTTTGGTGCTGTATGGCACAGAAAAGTTACCCAAAGTATGGGGTAACAGTGCTCAGTTACTCTGAGATACAATATCAAGCTTACTTAGTGATAACTTGATATAAAAAACAGATGTGCAGTTCATGTCACAACTCACCCCATGTCTTAAGGCAGCAGTAGGCTGGATGGCAAAGAAAAACAAGAGGAACAGGCCCCTAATTTGAGGCTCAGTGGTCAAGCAAACTGTTCTGGTGTTTTTTGGGTTTGCTGAACATGGCCACAGCCACAGCTTTGTCTGTTGCTCCCCTTCTACACATTCCTGTTTCACACAAAGACTTTCCCCCTCATTCTCTTTGTATTTAGTTTCCAGCACAGCCTTTTGTAATGGAATTACAAAGCTCCTTTGACTTCTGAAGGAATCATATCAATGAGGTCACTGCTATCTAAAACTCCAATAGTTGTTCTATAAACCACTAGAGCAGGAAGGAAAAGAAATTTCTTTTACACACAACTTGTTAAGCCACACCTATGAGTATTCAGGCCGTGGGCATGGGGCCCAGGTGCCATTTAGGTGATCTGGGGTTGGGCATTGGCAGGTTTTGAATAGCACATACCCCATGCCCTGGCATGTCAAGGCCATGTCATGCTCTGCAGGCTCAACTTCCTTGTGCTGCAGATGAGACAACTCCAAAGTCATCCCAAAATGAACCTGCCTGCCACCCTCCCAAACCACTGAGCAGCTGGCCTGGGGACCATGCCTGGTTGCAGCATCCCCTCAGAGTTGGGCACAGGGTACATCACCATCACCAAAGAATCAAACACAGGGTGGGTAGGAGGATTCTCCCCATGCTGCTTATTGCACTCCTAAACTGAAGCACATCCCCACTGTGATAAAAATCTTTAGAGTCCACATGAGTTGGACTAGATGATCCTCAAGTGTCACTTCCAACTCTGATTATTCTGTGATTATTTAGAACAAGTCATGCATCACTTGAGCCTAGACTTAGCCTTGAGCAACCTGCTCTGGTGGGAGGTGTCCCTGCCCAGGGCAGGGGTTGGGACTAGATGATCTATCTGTAAGGTCTATTCCAACCCCTAAAATTCTATGATTCTTTGATTATAGAATCTTGATACAAACCTTCAGCCACTGCTCTGGCTCTGGCCTGGAAGCTTTACTGACTGGCCAAAGACAAGGTTAACCAAGCCTGTAGTAACCCTCACTCATACTTCTGCAAGCTGTTTGGCTCTCAGCTCAACCACTGGCACAGATAACTCTGAAAACACTAACCTCAGTTCTGATTGACACCCATCAAATGCTGCAGCTTCTTCATCTGGTGGTGGCTTTGTTGGCTGCCAGGCTGGAGGACTTTCTTATTTGTGGCAACGTTGCTGGCTCTTGCTTTCAAAGCCTAAAACTGAAAGCAGTGCAACTACCTCTATTCAGGGGTGGAAAAAGCTCTAACCACAAGCCAACAAAAGCCTGTGAAATCAGCTCCACCAGCTGGTGGCTCAGGGCTGGTGAGGAGGCAGGAGGATGGTTGTACCATCTAGGAGTAGATGGTACAACCTCAGAGAGAAGGAGGTGCAAGTCAGATGGTACAAGTCTACAAGGCAAGGTGTAAAGCCATACAATAATCAATAGTGGGATAATCTGCCTTTCACAGTTTAAGCTTTCCACACTATAGAGCTGCTTTGCTCCTGAATGTTCAATATCTTTCAAGACTTCATAACATTTATTATTACATCCTTGACACTCCTTCCATCCCTTTCAATTCCTGGCCTCAGTGGCATCCTCTAACAGAATCACAGAATCATCAAGGTTGGAAGAGACCTCCAAGATCAAGTCCAACCCTTAACCTGTTACTGCTGTAACCCCTAAACCAGATTATCCAGTGCCAGGTCCAGACACCTCTTAAACACCTCCACAATGATATCCATCACCCTAGTGTGAAAATGTTGCTTTTCATGGCTTGTATTTTGTTGCTTTTAACTTCATTGTCTTATTCCACTTCTATTATAAGAGAGAGGATCTTCTATTTTCTATTATATGATAGGGAGATAAGATCTCTCTGCCTCTCTTCCTGAGACCACATGCATAAAAAATAATTTATCTGGCAGTTTTGTCACAAATTCAGCTGTAATTCCCTTCTCACAAGTATTTCTCAGAACTGCTTTTTCCTTTTCTCTTATTTGTATTTTATTTGTTGGCTGTATTTCCTGATTCTCACTTGATTACACCTCTGCATTCAGTAAGAGGGCAAGAAACTGCCAAGGATTTTAAACTTGTCTTCCTCAAAACCTGAGGTGAGTATGTTTGTATCACTCTTTGATTTAATTGCCTGGAGAAAAGGGAACTCAGAGAGAATGGAGGGCACTTTCTCTCCTCACATCAGGATAGCAATCTGAATCCTTAACTAATTAATATGATGTATTCTTAACTAATATTGAGCCAGGAAATATTGGGCCAGAAACATGGAGAGACATAGGAGAAACAGCCACAGGGACTCCCTTCCTACCACATATAAAGAATTTATCCTGCCAGAAAAGTAAAACTGAAGTTTGCAAGCCCCAACTTTCATTCATGAGACAACAGGGCAATGTGACCACACAAACAGTTTATTTGGTTAGAGCAGATCCTCTAGATACAGCAGTTAAACAAAACCACTACTTGGCAGTCAATTTATTTCCTAGTCCTCTCACAAAAGTGCAACTTAAAAGTAACAGAAAAATCTATAGAGGAATGAAGGAAAAACAAATAGGTCAGTCTTAAAGTGTTATAAAAGTTACTTGCCTACTGGATTTTGTATGAGAGCAGGAGATGTGCCCATGGAAACACCTCTCCAATACCCTCTTGCCTTCCTGGTACTTATGCCACCTGGTAGAGCTCTCACCCCCAGCACAGCTCTGGCCAGGACCACTAATTGGCCTTTATGTCATAATACATGCGGAGAACTTTCCTCACAGTCTCCACGAATTTATCATCTGGAACAGGCTTCCTCTGACTTCCTGGCTCCAGAAATTTCTTCACCGTGGGGATGTTGCTTATCCTTGCTTTAAATGCCTAAAAAGGTAAACAGTAAGGACATCATATTTAAAGAACAATAACACAAGAAAAAAAATCCTAATTTTACTGGTTTGTGTATTATTCTTTAACAAGTTCTATGTGGAGACAAGGCAGGGAATATAGTTTTAGCCATGGGTGAATTTTGTTCTCCCTCACGTCAACCTTGTTATTTTCACAGAAGCACAGAAAAATCAGAGTTGGAAGTGACCCTGGAGGATCACCCAGCCCAACTCCTGCCCTGCACAGACATCCCTGACAGTCACACCCTGTGCTGAGAGCATTGGCCAAACACCTCTGGAGCTCTGTCAGCCTTGGGGCTGTGACACTGCCCTGGGAGCTGTTCAGGGCCCAAACACCTCTGGGGAAAGAAGAAATCCAGCCTAACCCTGCCCTGACACAACTCCAGCCCATTCCCTGGCTCCTGTCCCTGGGCCCAGAGAGAAGAGCTCAGAGCTGTCCCTGCACTTCCTTCCCTGAGGGAGTTGTCCCAGCCATGAGCTCTGTGCTCAGTCTCCTCTTCTCCAGCTGAACAGCCCAAGTGCCTCAGCCATTCCTCATGTGGCTTCTCCTCAAGGCCCTTCACCATCTTTTTTTGCCTCCTTTGGACACTCTCCAATAACTTAATATCTTTCTCATATTGTGGTGTCCCAAACTGCACACAATATTCCAGGTGAGACTGCACTAGCACAGAGCACAGTAATAAATCAGCCTTCTGTCTTGTATTGATAAAGTGGAAACAGTTATTTGTGGTTTCTGATGTGTACATGACTCACATCAGTTCCCATGACCCAGAAAATTCCCTCTGCTTAAAGCTATCACAGAACTAGTGAGGAGAGGGGAAAAAACCCCACATGGTGCATTTCCTCAGATGTGTGTACAGAGATCACTCCAGAAAATAACAGATCCCTTAGATGAAGCATATCATAAAGCTCTTCCTAAAGTAGGAAGAGTGAGACCACAATGAAAAGGTGATGAATGTTTTGTGGAATTATCTACACAGAACAGACTTTGAAATATCATTTATCACAATTACAGCCATAGGAGTGTGTGGTTAGTGTAAGGTACCTGTAGCTGGGGAAAGCCTGAGAGCACATCTGACTTCTTCTCTTCTACCATTAAAATGGCTTCAAGAAGATGAACATCTGCCCAGCTGAAATTGTTGCCAACAAGAAAGTCCTGTCCATGGTCTTTCAGAATCTAGAAAAGTCAGAGATGAAAACATTCAGCTGAGGATAGCCAGATGGGGCTCATGTTTTCACAATGCACAGCACAACTTCTTTGGCAATGTTTACTGTCTCTTTTCACCCTTATCTCCCACTGTGCTGGTTTGGGCTGAAGTGGAGTTAAGTTTCTTGACAGTGACTAGTATGGGGCTATATTTTAAATTTGTGCTGGCAAAGTGGAAAAGTGTCTTCTCTTTAGTTTTTAAAGCAGAGAAACAGCTATTCCTGCCAGATCATCCAGTGTGTATTAATTTCCACTGAGAGTACCTCTTGGGTCCTACCTCTCAAAGGAAAACACTGAGATTCCAGTATGGCCTAAGCAGCAGGTTTAAGCAGATTTCAGTATGGCTAGAGGACAGCAGAGATAGCTATGTTACTGTTTTTAAAAAAACCATGTAGATGTATTTGAAGTGTTAAAAAATAAGCTGACAATTAGCACTGCATTTGCAATGCAAGTTCCTGTGGTGGGTTGACCCTGGCTGGACATCAGGTGCCCACCAAAGCTTCTCTATCACTCTCCTCCTCAGCTGGACACAAGAGAGAAAATATATTGAAAGGCTCATGGGTTGTCTTGCCCCAAGTTGTCTCATACTGCTCTGCCCTCCCTCTCATCTCTCCAGACTGCAGACAACATGATGTCCTGGTTTAAATTACTGCAGGACACATTTGCTCCTTCTGCTTTTGGTGAAATATCCAACATTCCCACTGTTATCTCTCCAGAATAATGGAAGAGAATGATACTCTTACATACCTTTTCATATGCTGGGAAATACCTGCTGGTTGCCTTTTGGACTATAAAAGCACGTTGTTTCTCTTTATCCTCAGCTGATAAGAAAGGGAACATCAAAATGAAGCCCATAAGGTCATCAGTTCCTCCAACATACATATCAATCCTTGAAACAAAAACACACAAAGCTCTTAGAATCATAGAACCATCAAGGTTGGAGGAGACTTCTAAGATCATCAAGTCAACCATTAACCTGTCACTGCTGGAACCACTAAACCCTAAACCAGATCCTCCAGTGCCACATCAGACACCTCTGAAGCACTTCCAGGGATGGTGACTCCACTCTGAAATAAGAAAGCACCTTCATAAATAGAATTTTCTTAGATTTGTGTTATGATAGTAAAAACTGAAATTCCAATCCCCCTCATGAAAATTATTTTTTGCAGTTAGCAAAAATATGTCACTGTCTGAATCTTACTTGGATTTGTGGCATTCTTGGAACTTCACTTGCCTCGTTGTGCAGGATTAAACAGGATTGCAGAGAGGCTAAAAAAGGCTTAACTTCAGTGTTACAGATCACTTCAGAATCACCAAAGAAACACAGACCATCACAAGAAGTCATTGTGTGGATGTGTCCCACCCTCAGGGTTTCATCCAAGCCCAAGTGGTGTCAGATAGATTGATAATGGGATTGAAATCTGAAGCATAGCAGGTTCTGCATCCAGCTAAATGATCAGTACAGCAGTTCTCCAGGTCATCCCTTTTATCCATCTTTCCAGAGCTATGAGAGCAAGTTTTGTACTGTAGGCAAGACTCAAATTTAAATTAAGTCCTCACAAAGATGAATTAAGTATCTGGCGAAAGACTCTAATAAAGTCTTTAACCTTACTATGTCATAAGAGATTTGAGTTCCTGCTGTGCAGTAAGACTAACCACAAGTTTCACTGCCATGCAACAGCTTCTCAACAAAGCCTCTGGAAGACTGAACATGCTGTGTGCAATGAGAAGGTAACAGACATTAAGTGTGTCATGTTCTGGCCTGCATCTATCCAATCTCCCCAATCTGCACTTCCTCACTAGACAAGATCAGCTCTCCAAAGTACTTCAGCCTGAAGGTTCTCATGGGAAGCCTTCCTCAAAACACTGGTGCTTCTTGCCTCTCTGCCCACCAACTCAAGAACCAATCAACAAATATACTTCACAGAATCACAGAACCAGTTAGGCTGGAAGGGACCACAATGGTCATCTGGTCCAACCTCCCTACTCCAGCAGGGCCAGCCCAGAGCACATGGCTCAGGGTTGTGTGATTCTGTCTGTGTGTGCTGGTTTGGGCTGAAGTACAGTTAACTTTCTTCCCAGTGGCTAACATGGAGCTATGTTTAGGATTTGTGCTGAGCACAGAGTTGATAATGCAGAGATATGTTTGTTGTTGCTGAGCAGAGCTGACCCAGAGCCAAGGCCTTTGCTGCTTCCCACACTGCCACATGGCAAGGGAGTTGGGGCTGCATGGGAGGTTGGGAGGAGACACAGCTGGGACAGGTGACCCAACCTGACCCAAGGGATATTCCACACCATAGCACATCATGCTCAGGATGTTAGGGTTTTCAGCACTGGGATATTGCCCAAGGAGGTGGTGCAGTTACCATGCCTGGAGGTATTTCAGAGGTGTCTGATGTGGCACTGGAGGATCTGGTTTAGGGTTTAGGGGTTCCAGCAGTGACAGGTTAATGTTGGACTGGATGATCTTAGAGGTCTCCTCCAATCTTGATGATTCTATGATGAATTCTAGCTGTGTCTAAGCTATTAAAATGAGTTCAAGAAGAGCAATACTGTTACATACAAGGCTCTTTCCTTCAGGTCCTTCCCGTAGAGGTTGTACTTTCCTGCTATGTAGCTGAGGATGGCTCTGGTCTGCACCATCCTCATCCCATCCATCTCCACCATGGGCACTTGCTGAAACAGCAGGGATCCACCTAAAGGGAAAGACACACTTTATTCTGCTGACCTAGTAACTCCATGTCAGATTTCTTGCTGTCTCCAGAAGATCATAACATTTTTGGTGAGTTTGCTGTGGGTAGTCATTGTATTAGACTGTGGTTTTTCCATGCACACAATAAATTACAATGATGCAGGAAAATTAGACTGCAGAGCACAATTGTTGCGGGTTAACATCCTTCCTTTAAAAAAAAATCACTGAAGTTGCAGTCAGGACTGTGTACAGCACCTTTTATACTGAAATTGAAATGCAGTGGAGACACAGTAAATATATCAACTGAGTAAAAAGTGTCTCATTTTAATAATGTAAAAAAATCTGTTTCATTATTTAAACACTCTTTGAAGCAAATGTCAGATTCACAAATTCTCTCTTGTGACCAGTATTTAAGCTAAGTCACGACATTCAATGAGATTTTTGAATACTTTTTTTTCCGGGTAAGTTTGTGGGACCAGGCAGGACACATAAACAAATGGAGAAGAGAAGAACCCAGAGGGATGGGAAACTTCCCAGGACGGAAAAAAATGTTACATTTTCAACAGCTTCTGTCCACATATGGAAAAAAAATCAGCTCCTGCAGCTGCTCACAGCTCTCAGCTTTACTCCCATCTCTGCTCTGGGGAAAAAAGGTCCCACATAATCTTCAAAGACTTCACATATCTTCTCTAAGTCAAGTCTGGTCACACTTTTCTTGAGGTGTGAACTCACCTTGCAGGAGCTTCTCATACTGCTCTCGGGTTTCCAAAAACTCTTCTTCAAACTGAGAAAAGAGTGTGGAAGAAGAGCAAATAAAGATTTCATCACATTTCCAGAAGAGGTAAACTTTTTAAGCACCGTAAAAGGCAGGGAATAAACATCATGTTTCCTTCCATTCCAGATATGGTTCTAAGGGAGAAAATATGAAGGAAAGAAGCACTGACAAAATCTCTTGGACTGTAATATTTGATAAATGTCCTTCATGGTTGTTGTGTCCCAAGGGCAGGCGTTCAGGCACTGGGATATTGCCCAGGGAGGTGGTGCAGTCACCATCCCTGGAAGTGTTTAAGAGGTGTCTGGATCTGGCACTGGAGGATCTGGTTTAGGGGTTCCAGCAGTGACAGGTTAATGGTTGGACTTGATGATCTTAAAGGTCTCCAACTTTGATGATTCTATGATCAATTCATCACCAAGACAGATAGAAAATGAATAAGTAGATTATCTACCACCCAAAAAAATATTTTAAAGTGGTATCTCTGTTTTTTTCCAAATGTTTTTTCTTCCTGCTCTGAGATTTCTAATTTCCCCTACACATGTGGGTCAGTTTGCTCACTTCACCCCATTAAACCTCATGTGATGCAAGCAAGACACAAAGTATGTTGTGTTACAGCTGATTACGGAGGATGCAGCCAGTGGAGCGAAAAATAAAGCAAAAACCTGTGTGTGAGCATCCAACTGAAAAAGCCTAGAGAAAGTAAATTCATTGCTGTTTAACTTGGCACAGATAACCCTTGTTAGGCCAGGAACACATCTATCAGCTCAGCAGCTCTGGGGCAGCAATTGAATGATTAATTAAGGGTTATGCATTGTTGCGTTAAGCAAGAAACTGGTTTACAGTGTCACTGCTCAGAAGACATGTAACTTGAAGCAATGCTTTTGTGTGCCTATGAAAGAGTGCTTAATTGCTCTGAATAGCCACTGCTCATTAACTGCTGGGGCTTGGGATGCCTTCTCATTTTCGGCCAATGACCTGTGAGCTGCCTCAAAGACAAACTTCAAGAGAAAAGCACTAAAACCAACCTCGACCCCAGCGGCAGCTAGCAACCAGCGGATCGACTCCATCTTTCCTCTTCCATCAAAGTAGTAAAGTTTCGGTTTTCCAGACATGGCTTCAAACTTGCTGTTACCTGAAACAGTTATAAAAGAGAAGAAGTGAATAATGATACAAAAAAATCTGATGCTGGTTGGGATAATGGTCACTGAGATGACGAAAATTCTGTGGCTGTGGCTGCCCCAACCCTGGCAGTGTTCACAGCCAGGTTGGATGAGCCTTGAGCAACCTGCTCTGGTGGGAGGTGTCCCTGCCCAGGGCAGGGGTTGGGGCTGGATGATTTCTAAGGTCCATTCCAACCCCTAAATTCTATGATTCTTTATCCCCCTGAAATTCAGGAGGAGTAAGCATCAAGTTGCTAAGTAGGAGGCAAACAAAGAAAACCAAACCCACCACTAAGGAAATCATTAAAACTTTGAGAGAATGTAAGTTTTAGCACTAGAGTTACAGTCACCCCTGAAAGCCAAGTTTTGATCAAAGGCAAGAAGCTGTAGACAAGTTCTCCAAAACTGCAAGTCTTTATATCAGAAGTAACTAAACATTATCTCTACGTGTGCTTAGGTGAAGTATGGGAATGTATTTTCAAGCCTCTCACTTTTCCGTAGTGATCCAGGATAAGTATATGATCCAGAATCAGTGGAAACTTCAAAAGAATGGCCTGGATTTTTTTTTCTGTAATAACCCAGATTAAAATAAAGATTCAGAGTGTTGCACTATTTATTCTTCTACTGGTCACATTTCTTGCTCTTAACAAACCCTGTTGCTAAGGGTTTATAGACTTTCTAGACTTTTCAGTTCATAAATACACCATGCTTTGCAAGCAGCATTTTGCTTCTTTAATGGCTTCATAAATGAGGCTATTATTTGTTATTTTTTTAATAGACTAGTGTTT